AGAAGCAGAGAGAAGCGCTGCAAGACCTCATGACAGCCGTAAAGACAGCGACGGTACTGCGGCTGCCAGCAGCAGACCAGCCCTTCATCTTGTACACCGACTGGAGCAGCCAAGGGATGGGGGCAATACTGTGCCAGGAGGTGGAGGGAGTGGAGAAGGTGGTGGCCTACGCCAGCAAGAGCTGCAACCCAGCGGAAGCCCAGTACAGCTCATACATCGGGGAGGGGCTGGCGGCAGTGTGGGCGGTCGGGCATTTCCGGGTATACCTGCAGGGCCGAGAATTCACCCTAGTCACTGATCATCAGCCCCTCACATGGCTGATGACCACACCAGGGCTGGCAGGGAGGAACGCGAGGTGGGCAATGAAGTTGCAGGAATATGATTTTAAGATTAGGCACAGGCCGGGGAAGACGTTGCAGCACGTCGATGGTCTCTCTCGCAACCCACCGCCGCTGGAAACGGGACAGATAATACCGGGGACGGAGGAGACAGAGCCGGAGCCAGCGCAAACCTTGATCTTGCTGGCACGAGAGGTGGAGCAGGTCGGTGCAAAAGGGAATCTGGGGCCAGCTGACATCTGGCAGGATGCAAAGGCAATGGAATGGGTGAAGGGAGAAACCGAAGAAGACGAGACGATATCAAAGAGGGTGAGGGCACGAGGGCACCACTACAGGTGGTATCAGCAGCAGCTGCAGGTCAAGACGGAGGATGGCTGGAAGCTGGTGCCAGCGCCTAAGGACCGTGAAGCAGTGATCAAGGAAGTGCACACTAAGCTGGGACACTTCGGGCACGAGAGGACCGTGCAGCTGCTGAAGACGAGCTGGTGGTGGGAAGGGATGCGCAGGCAGGTGAAGGAGTGGGTGGAGGGGTGCGAGGCATGTCAGAGGAGCAAAGCAAACTTGACACAGGCCAAAGCAGAGCTACACTCACTACCAATCTGCGGGCTGGGGTTCCGATGGTCCCTAGACCTTGCAGGAGAGTTGCCGCTGAGCAGGAGCGGGAATCAGTACATAGTGTTCATGGTGGAACATGTGAGCAAGTGGCTGGAGGTGAGAGCCATCCCTAGCAAGAGCACGAGGCATATTGCAGCAGCCTTCAAGGCACAGGTAGTGTGTCGGTTTGGAGCATGCAGTGAGGTGCTCACAGACTAGGGAACGGAGTTCCAAGGGGAGTTCAAGAAGCTGCTGGAGGAGTCTGGCATCACGCACCGAAAGACCTCCCGCTACCACCCGCAGAGTGACGTGCTGACCGAGCGAGCAGTGCAGACCTTCAAGCGAGGACTGCGGGCCTACGGGGAGCAGATGAAGAGGGATTGGGATGATGAGTTGGACTGGATCGCAGCGGGGTACAGGTTTGGGAAGCAGGCAGCGCTGAAGGATCATTCCCCGTATAGCCTGCTCTTTGGACGAGAGCCCATTCTGCCAGTGGGGGCACCACGGGTACTGACAGACACAGTGACAGCGGGCACGATCAAGAACTGGGTAGCCCTGTCAGAGGTGAGAGCGCGCTACCTGCGCTACATGATGCCAGCCGCCTTGGAGAATCTACACACCGCACAGCTGCGAGATGCCAGGAGATACGAACAGCGACAACGCAAGGGCGAAGGAAAAACGGCGAGGGGCGTCTGGGAAGGGCAGGAAGTTTATTTGAAGAGAGCGAAGCAGGATACTCTAGACGTGGGGTTGGGGACAGTGCGCTGGAAAGTCAAGGAGGTGCGCCCGTCTGGGGTGCTGGTCTTGAAGAACGACAAAGGAGCGCTGTTGAGGGAGCATCAGACGAATACAGCCGTGATCAGAGGGACCGGGCCTCAGCGTACTGGTCATGTGACCCGCGCTCGAGCTGCTCAAGCACGGGCACATGAGGGGGCAGAGAGTGGCTGAGGCAGCAGAAGGAACAGAGAAGAAGAAGAGAATCTGAATGCAGGCAGATGACGAGCAGAGCTGTTTCTCCGACAGCTGTCACCGAATATGCACGGTTGTGCATATAAGGTGCCAGTTAGATTGAGGTGTAGTTCTGGTGTGGTTCGGGTGTAGTAATGATGTGTATGAATATTCGAAGGTAGGTAGTTGGGGAACCAGAGAAGTTGACGCGAGGTTGGTAGGAGAGCACCAAGGGTGAAATCCACGCGACCAATGTGATTGAACCAACCCAGGCTCGAGCCGCACATTGAGAAATGCACGGTTCGAGCCCAGGCCAGGTAAAGTCACTCGCTCACACAGCCCTGATGCTTTCCAGTTGCTATCCTTTCGTATAGTGGACTATTGTTGCCTCAGCTGTGCATACAGGTGGCACACCACTCAGGGAGGACCCTTGAGGTGAGAGTTATTTAACTTTTATGAGAGAGTGGGTGAGGCAGCAGAAGGAACAGAGAAGAAGAAGAGAATCTGAATGCAGGCAGATGACGAGCAGAGCTGTTTCTCCGACAAGGGGTACATTCCCTTATCAACTGTATTGCATAGCTACAGTAACCGCGACTATTGCTACCCGTATTCTCCCGGATAAAACACCCCCCCGTAATTGTACACCCCCGGGTAGCTAATACGGGGTGGGTGTTATATCCGACCCCGTTTGTACTATACCCCCCCTTTTGGGGTGATTTTCTATAACACCCCCCTTTTCTTATAGATTCCTATTATAGCTGTTATCGAGTCCGATTCCTTACGGGAGGATATCGCGAGAATTGCTCCCTAGGTGAAATTTCGCGTGTACTTTCACTTAAAATCTGCCAAGATTTCCCCCCTCCCACAATCTCGCTGTCGCCACGCTGGCGAATCTTCCGCTGCAAGTGGCCCCATGTGCTGGCAACGCACAGACACGAAATCGGGAATCAGGGGTTTCGTTACGATACAGAACGGTTTAGGGTAAACTTTTGAGCAAATGGTATCCAAAGGTCCCCATCCCACTCCCACATTCGTGGAATGCTGGAACAAGGCTTCAGCGCGCCAATGCGGATCTCTCTGCTGATTATAGACCAGAAATTGAACAGCCTAGATCGTGCCACATCATTTTCATACCCCACCCAACCCACCTCACTTACACGTGACCAAACCAGTCAATAAGTGACTGGTACAGTAAGAACGCACCACCGTGCGCGATTCTGGCCGGCGGTTGCATGAACCCTCGCCACGCAATTGGCTTTGTTTTCACCCTATCAAGTGCCAAAATTGCCCACTCGAATATGCCACGTGGCAGATTCCAGTGGGCGGTCACGTTATCCTCGTATACTCGGTTTTGCGGCACTGGTCAACAATCTTGAAGTGAAGTCAGACACCTGATTTTGTTTCACATCTTTTCTACTTGATAAAAAATATACCATATAATAAGACCCGGGTATTATGTAAGATTTTCCTTTGAGGAGACCCCCCCCATTTTTTCCCAGTGGTTTTCATAATACCCTAGGGTGTTTTATCCGGGAGAATACGGTATTCTCGACAGTTACCATGTTGCAGTGAATTAACAGTCGCGCGGTTACTGGATCGTCAAAGGTCACGACCGTTGGCTTCCTCAGACGGTTGTTCTTCGGGTGACCCCCGACATTCCGCATGCTCTATATGAGCTGTTGCGGTATTGGTACAGTGGAGCAGCTTCGGGAATGCTTTATATAACCTTTCGGTTGTTTCAACACATGGCTCAGGGAGAGGTATCAAAAGGAAAAAAAGGGGAAGAGAAAGAGATGAATAGAAAGGGTAGGGGTGCTGTAGTTCTGCTCCAGCCTATATGCCTCTTACCCCTCCAGTGTTGCCTTGGATGATGAGAGATGGTAAGTTGAGCCTTTGATTTAACTTTCTTTTGGTGGCATTAGCGTATTTTTTTTTCTCAAAATGTTGGACTTCTTCTGAAGTAACAGCTCTCAGAAGTGTTGAATTAGGTGTTGGAATAAATTGATGCTTGTTCCGTGTCAGTAAACAGATTGTCGGATATCACCACCAATGTTTGCCAAGCAAGCATCAGAGCACCTACACAAGTACTGTATGCCTTTGGGTAGAAGAGGAAACTGCAATTGTTGTGACATGGTTTCCTCATTTCGGGAAATTGTTTCACTGTTCAGTATCCCCTTTATTGGGCAATGACAGAGCGATATCCATTTCTTGGGGTCATCATCTGCTGTTCGACAACAAGCACAAGCACTTCCTAGAACAGAGTCGAGTGTCAGAGCACCATCACAGTCTCACCGACTTTTCAGGAGATGGAATACCGAGGGCAGAGTTTTAGTAGCAGTTATTGCAGTTTATGCTAGAAGCAGAGTGTTACACACACGACACGTGTTTCTGGCCGTCACCTTCTCTTTCCGGCTGTTCCTGTACTACGATTGTAGCGGACGTATTTGTTAGCGAACGGCTAAACGTGTCCTAGAAAACACAAAACCAGCTGAAACTGAACGACGAGCTGAATTCTGTCTCCTTGACCCGCTCCCCGATCAACGTCCCCTCTCCTGCTCGCTCTCTTCGTGTTCTCATTCGAGTCGACTCCGAGACGCCGCCATGGCGGAAACGCAGGAGCTGCTAGCTGCGCTGACGGAACATCTGAGCGATTTTTGAGTCGACTCAAAATTCGCCATCAGGCGACCAGACACATGTGTTTTTTAACGTCTCAAGCTTTCCTCCTCCGAGGCAAACTCCGAGACCATCATGGCGGAAACACAGGAGCTGCTGGATTCGCTAACGGAGCATCTCGGCGCGTTCCACCGCACCGCATGCCGTCGCGAGTCTCAACGCGCGTCGTTGTCATCCAATTCCTCCGCTGCGAGGGTCTCGGGCCAGGCGGAACCACGTCAGAGACGGTCAATAAGAGGGACCAGTACAGGAACGACTACTAACGCTGTCAGAATTCCTCCCACGCGTTCGCCTAAGGAGCTGATTCACGCATGGTTGAAGCAGCTAGATGTGGATACAAGGCGGCGGATTTTCACGGTAGTGGACCCGCAGTGGACGCAGATTCTCCTTCAAATGGCGGCTCATGTGCGCATGAACGGCCTTGGTCAGTTTATCGTTCTCTCGGACATGCTCGAGCAAACCCCCGTTACAGTCACCCAGGAGGCTTCGCACAAGGCAGCACCGTGTGCAGGTGGTTCGCTGCATAAAGCTTCTGCGGGCGCGGGCGCGGGCGCGGGTGGGGGAGCGGGAGCTGCTGCTGCTACTTCTGCTTCCCATGGTCATGGTAAAGGGCGAGGGAAGGGGAGCAAGGGAGGAGGTGGCGGGAAAAGGAAAGGTAAGCCCAGCGGTCGTGTCGGAGCGGAGGACGGTTCAAAAACAGCAAGACACTCGGAGGAGCAACTGGTGGAGGTAGTACCCAGACGGCAGGACCTAGGACTACCTCCTAGGACTGACGATCAGGCTACGCCTTGCACACCCAGGACTGACGGTTTTGACGGCTTTCCTGTGGACAAGGCCGGTACGCCGCCGCAGCTCGTTGGGAAGCCTAGGGAGCTGTCAGCGGGTCCTCCTCTGCCCGCCATCTGCTTCAAGCGGTGTGAAGGCATGTGGACGCGGCTGGGGCGGCAGCAGTGGGCGGCTGGGCGAATCGAATCTGCCATCAGGCTCTTTTCCTCCTCCTCGCCTTCTCCGTCTCCTTCGGCGCAGCAGGAGACGGGGGGCCTTGCAAAGCAGGCGGGTGCTTTGCAGGAAAAGTTCTCTGATAAATATTCTGTAGCTTGTACAGGTAGTTCAAGCATTACTAAGGCTGCACGTGGGTCGTTTCAGGACCAGGTGCAGCCATCTGTAGATTCCCTCACACTGGCTGACTCGTTACTAGCTAACGTCGACCTGTTTTTCACGGTCATGGAGGAGATTTCCTGGGGAGGATTCCTCACGAAAGCGCCTGCAAGGGCCCATTCTTCCAGCACCACCATTCATGGCAGCAGCAGCACCAGTGGCAGCAGCGGCACTGGTAGTAGCACCAGCAGTAATAATAGCGGCGGCAGCAGCGGGCAGGGGCAGTATTCGTGGGAGGAGCTGCCGTGGCTGCAGGCGCTGGGGTTCTACCCGCTGGCTGCCTTTGTTGCCAGCCGCCTGGAGATCCACCTGTGGCGCGCCTGGGACCGCGCCAGGTCCCTTGGAGCTGTAGTAGCAGCGCCCACAGCAGGGGTGGGGGGGGAAGGCGGGGAAGGAAGGGGGGATGGAAGGGTAGCTCAGGTGGGAGTGGGGTTTCATGACAAAACAGGCACCACTGCTGCTGTTGCAGGTGGCGGCAGTAGTGGCAGCAGTGGTGGTATTGGGGTTGAGAGCAGAGTAGCGGAGTGCCCGGCGCTGTCTAGAGTGGAGAGGGTGGAGCGGTGGTGGAGGGAGAAGCAGGGCTCTGGTGGCGCGGAAGCAAAGGCGCTTCAGGGCGCCGTGTGCCTTGCAGCTAAGGCCGAGGTGATCTGGGGATGCTTTACTCGTGCATTTTGCACAAATTGCGTTTGCTATGTTGGGTGAAGTTTATTAACCGTCAACTACATTCGTGATTTTCTGAGTCTGTTAGCCATCTTCCTGCACTCCCATGCAGGCCCTGGCATGGCATGGTAGCGTGATTACACTTCCTCCCCGCATCACCCCGTCCGCATCATCCACCGTTGTTGCACCCCACCGTTGTTACAGAGGCTTCCCGTCCTAAATTATTTCTCTGGTCCCGTTCTCTGGGTATGATACTCTGGTTATCATAACCCCAATTCTTTCTCTGGTTCCGTCTCCTACAATTCTCCCCCTTTCCACTCTCCTTCCTTCGCATCCAGGCCCTATCAACTGTGAGGAAAGCGGAGGCATCGCGGGCGCACTTTTCCCAGCACCACCTCATACGCATCATCCACCGCGACAGACCCTTTCCTCTCTCATCAATCACAAGTCTTTCTCCAATCTCCCCAATCCCCCCAACCAGGCCCTGTCAACTGTGAGGCAAGCAGAGGCAGCACGGGCACACTTCTCCCAGCACCACCTCATCCGCATCATCCACCGCAACAGAGCCTCCCTGCACCCCTCGTTGCTTACCGCCCGCCACTCCGTCTCCCGCCACCTCTGCTCCGCCCCTGACTGCAGCAGCAGCAGCAGCAGCAGCAGCAGCAGCAGCAGCAGCAGCATCGTCGGTCCTCTCATTGACAGCAGCAGCATCAGCCCTGCTAGTGGCGCCAACTTGTGCTCTGCAAGCGGCAGCAGCAGCAGCAGCATTGCTCCTGCTAATGGCGCCCTCACTGTCCCGCGTGCACTCCTTCTGGATGGGCTGTTTCTGAATCCCTGCTCCCAGTGCGGTCCGCCCATTGCCTTCTCTGCCCACTCCTGGGACCACCTCGGCCGCTCCCCTGTTGGACCCTGGGTCGCCGGCCTCCTTGCCCTCATGGACCTCGCTCCGCTCCTTGCTGCTGCATCTGGTGGCGCTGCCACTGGTGGTGGGAAGAGGAATGGTGCTGCCGCTGGTGCTGGTGCTGGTGCTGGTGCTGGTGCTGGTGCTGGTGCTGGTGCTGGTGCTGGTGATGTGCCCACATGGTGTGAATCAGAGAAGCTGCTGCAATCGTGCTGGGGTGCTTCTGCCTCTGCTGCTGCTGCTGCTGCTGCCACCTCTCCTTCCTCGGTTCCTTCTCAGACCCCTTGCATACTCCCTCACACCCTCCTATCCCCGCTGACCCAAGCCTCTTCCATGCTAAGCAGGACACGGATGCGGATTGCGTCCGCTGTTGATGCTTCCCTGCGGACAGCCCTTCAGCTGGAGCTGCTGCAGGGGGAAAGGGAGAGCAAGGGGAGGGTGGGAGGGGAGGGGAAGGGACAGGGAGACGGTGGGAGCAGCAGCTGCAGTGGTGGGCAGAGCAAGGGGCGGAAGCGGAAGAAGAAGAAAGGGAAGGGGAAGGATGGCGGGACAGGGGATGCTGCCGCTGCTGCTAAGGATGAGGCTGCTGAAGAGGAGAGTGTAGATGGCATGGGTTGCAGAGAAGAGGGTGGAGTGGAGGGTGGAGTGGAGGGTGGAATGGAGGGTGGAGAGGCAGTTGCATGCACTGACAATTTGCTTACAGTGGTGCAACAGCAGGGTAGCGAAGCTGTGAGTGCGCTTCCTGCCTCAGATGTTCTGCCTGGGTCACTGGAAGGTGGTGGTGGTGGTGGTGGTGGTGTCGGCGGTAGTGTTTTTGATGGTGGTGATGGTGGTGAGTGGCGTCTGGTGTGCAAGAAAGGAGCAGCAGGGGGTGGCGGCAGCAGCAGCGCCAGTGGTGGTGGCGCGGGTGGTGGTGGTGGTGCTGGGAATTGTATTCAAAAGCAACAGCAAAGGCAAGGGAAACGAATAGGAGGAGCCAGAGGTGGAAAGGAGGTTCGGAGGGAGTTGAGTTCTGCGTCTTCTGCTGTGCAAGCTTCTGGTAGCAAGCCTGCAGCTGTTGAAGGCTCAGCAGTTGCTCTAGCCTCGACACCTGCAATGCCTGCAGGTGCAGCAGCACAAGGGGTAACGTCAGGGGCAGCAGCAGGGGCAGCGGCAGGAGGCGGAAGCAGCAGAGGCACTTGTGTTATTGCAGAGGTGACTCGTGCATGTGCTTCACCTCCTGCTGCTGCTGCTCCGCACCCTTCAACTTGTGATGCTGGCGCAGTGCCTTCCCTGCATGCATCAACATCAGCAACAGCAGCGCCAGCAAGAGCAAGAGCAGGTGCAGGAGCAGCAGCAGCAGCAGCAGCAGCAGCAGCAGCGTCAGAGAGGTCAGCTCCATCAGCTGCATCACATGGAAGCGGCGCTGCTAGCAGCAGCAGGCTGGCCCGTCCCTCTCATAACTCTTCCTCCCCTACCAGTCTAGACCTCTCGCTCTCAGCATTCCCCCCTCTCCCCCTGCTGCAACTCCCAAAGACCAGCCAGGCCACGCCCACAGACCCCTCCCAGGCCCTCCCCTTCCTCTCGCCTCTCATGCGCCGCTCCCGGAGAGAAGCAGCGCAAAACATCCCCCCCCTCTCCTCCTCTCCACCTCCCACATCTTCCTCCTCCAGTCCCAGGTCTCCCTCCCCTGAATCCCCCTCCCCTGCACCTCCCTCCCCTCAGTCACTCCACTCAGGCTCTATCACCCCTGCCAGCATGGGGATAGAGCCTCCTTGCATGCACTCACAGTTAGTGCCTTCACCAGGTGCCCCTCCTGCTGGGACAAACGGGCCTGCAATTGGCCCCAGCAGCGATTCAAATGCTGGCAGGCAGGCACAGTTCGTGCCTTCACCAGATGCCCCTCCGTTCTTCCCAGCAGAGTCACCAGATTCGGTCTCAGTGCAACCACAACCCCATCCGCCACAGCAGCAGCAGCAGCAGCAGCAGCAGCAGCAGCAGCAGCAGCAGCAGCAGCTCCGCCAGGAGCCTCCCTCTCAGCATCAGTTTCCCCCCATGCGACTCCCCTTCTCCCCCCAACACGCCACCCGCCTCTCCCCACACCACGAGTGGCCCGGCTTTCATCCCCCTTGGCCTCGCTCTCTGTCTGCTGCTCCCTTACAACAACCCCCTCCTTTCATCTCACCCAACCCCTATCACCAGCATCCGCATGCACACCCGCAGCACCAGCTGCAGCAGTTTCAGCAGCAGTACCAGTTGCTGTTACACCAGCATCAGCAGCAGCAGTCGATGTTGAATTCACTGCATCTGGAGGGGTCAGGGCGGTGGCCCTGGTTGTGGCACCGCCCCTCTGCTCTTCTCCTTACCCAGCTCCCCCCCCGGCCCCCCAGCCTGCCCTCTTCCCCTGCTGCCTCTCGCCCCGCCTCGTCCCTGCCCTCGTCCTCCCTCTCCGCTGCTGGCCCTGCTTCTGCCGTTGCCTCTGCCTCTGCTTTTGCGTCTGCCTCTGCTTCTGCTTCTGCCTCTGCCCCTGTCTCTGCTTCTCCTGCTAATCCTGCCAGTGCTCCTCTTGTTGTTGATCTGATGGCTACTCCTGATGCTGTTTCTTCCACTGCTGCTGCTGCTGCTGCTCCTGCTGTTCCTCCTACGTCTGCTGCCTCTGCGACTTCCTCCCCTTCTCTCCATCCGGACTCATCATCTGCATATGCTTCCAGCACATCATCACCACCACCACCGCCGCCACCCCCGCCACCACCACCACCACCCGCACAACCCACTCTACCTGTCCTCCCCACCCATAAAAACCCAGACAGCAAAGCAGGCTTACTAGGCCCTTGCCCCCCTCACTTGCACCCCCTTGATCTACACTTCCCTCACTTCCACCCCTCTCACTTCCATCCCCTCCCACCTGACCTGCATCCCCTGCACCCCGTGCTCCCCTCCTCTATCTCCACCTGGACTGCAGAGCCTGCCTGGTCGCGCCCCTATTACTACGACTGCCTCTCAAACACTGCCTTTGAGGCAGCCCCAGCTCCAGCTCCTATACCACCACACGGCCCACACCCACCATACTCCTCCTATGAATGCGGCTCAGACACTGTCTTGGTCGATGAGCCGTTTCAGGCGTTTCACGCGCGCTACCCTGGTGTGTTGGGCCCGCCTAGGGAGCTCCTCCACGTGCCAGAGCCCCCTCTCTCCTACCCCGCTCCCTCTCACGCCGCACTCCCCCACCATGTCTCTGCTTTTGAGTCGACTCAAAAGCAGACTCACACCGCACTCTCCCACCACCATGTCTCTGGCTGGCACTCAGGCCATCTCGCCCACAACCCTCACCCCGCCCATCATCCCCATCTGCCTTATTTTCCCAACCTTCCCCACCTGCCTCACCTAGCCCAGACTGCCAGTTGCGCCTCGTCAAGCCCTACCCAGGACCAGCCACACGTGCAGCATCCCTCCCAGTCCTCTGCTGGTGCCCCCCTCGCCGTCGCCTCCCGTGTTCCCCCTCACAGCCTGCCTGAGCCAGTGGTTGTGGCGCCGCCTGTGGTCCCTGAGGCCGTTCCCAGGGATGGGGAGGAGCGGGAGGATGGGAGCTTGTTGGGAAGGGAGGAGGATGCGGATCTTGCAGTGGGGATTGTCGAGGGAAGGGGGGTGGGGCTGGCATCGGGTGGACAAGCAGGGCCAGCAGGGATGGGAACGGAGACAAGAGGGGCGAATGGCACAGGTAGGGGAGGAGTGGAGGGAGAGGGAGCAGCTGATGTTGGCGAGAGGGAGAGGGGGGAAGCTGGTGGTGGTAGTGCTGCTGCTGCTGCTGCTGCTGCTGCTGCTCCGGGCCACCACCATCCGCAGTTGCGCATCACTGTGCCTACAAGGCGGCGAGCAGGGAACGAAACCAGCCGCCCTGATGCCACTGGCAGAGACAGGATTACCGCTGCTGCTGGTGGTGTTGGCACTGCTGGTGGTACTGCGGAAACCACTGCTACAGCTGCTGCTGATATGAATGCTACAGCCTCCACAGGTGCTGCTGTTGCGCTGAGTGCTGGTGAGCATGGTCGGCAGGGCGACGGGGAGTTTGAATTCCAGGGCCAGGCTCCTCCTGCTGACAACGCTTCTGCTAATAACGAGGATAACTCCTCCGAAACGGCAGTGCAAGCCCCTAGCACGCCCTTATCAACACCCTCCAGACGCACCTCCTGCTGGGCTAGAAGCAGCAGGGCCAGCCAGGATGGGACGGAGGGCAACGATGGGGATGGGGATGGGAAGGGGGCAGCAGGCGAGGGCACTGAGGAAGGGGAGTCAGAGGACTGGTCTTTGGAGAATTTCACAGATGATTCGTTATTAGCAGGGGAGAATTACCAGATGTTGGAGGAAGATTTTGCCGAGTTTGTGGGCGGTGCGGGCGACAGGGGGTACTTCTCTGAGGACGAGAGCGTTCCGCTGGTAGCCCAGCGAAGAGGGGTGTTTTACCCTCGAAATTACCGGTCGGGGAGGGGCATGTACGGAAAAGAGGCCATGCATGGAGCCATGGGGCCAGCGGGAATGGGGTGGGGCGGCGGGGCCAGAATAGGAGCGATCCAAGGCCCGTCGGGACACAGAATTCCAGAGATGGGGGCGGGTATGCTTGGGGGAGGAGCACCTGAGGGAGGTATTCTTGGGGGTAGAGGTCCTGGTGGCAGCAGCTGCGGGGCTGAAGGTACACGTGAAGAGACGCGATTCTCTTATGATGATAACGATGTGGACTATAGGAATGTGTTTGGCGGAGGGGTGTTCTACTGGAACATGGCGGATTACCGCGGGGCCAGTGCAAGCGGCGGCGCGTCCCGCACTGGGTCATCTCTAGGGTCGGAGGACAGCTCGTGGTTGAGACGAGAGGCGGATGTGCGGTTGATTGTGGATGATATAGTTCTAGGGTTCCCGATATCAGGGTCGATTTCGGGTTCGATTTCGGGGTCGTATCCGCCAGGTATGGGGCTGTCTACTGCTGCGTCGACTGATCGGTCGAGTATTCCGTCGCCCAGCTCCACTGCCTCTGGCCCGTTTGATATGCGCCACGCTTCTCTCTCCGCTGCTGCCGGTGCTGGGATTTTGGCTGGTGGTGGTGCTGCTGTTGCTGCAGCGGCGGCGGTCTCAGGAGTCGTTTCTCCGCGTTTTGAGCTGGGTGGTGGTGGTGTGGGGGGGGCAGGGAGAGGGGCAGGAGGAGGGAGTCGGCTTGTGTCGTCAGGAAGTGGAGGACTCGTGTTGTGTGGAGCTGGCCCCGTTTCCACTGGCACTGCTACTGGCGCTGGTAACACCGCAGGCAACTCTGGCAGTGGCAGTGGCGGTGGTGGTGGTGGCAGCAGCAGCAACCCGGGTGTGTTGAGTGGGCGTGGAGGGGCGCAGCAGCAAGGGCGGCCTCGGGGAATGGGGTTGGCTCGGTCTGAGAGTGATCCGGTACGTGTTCAGGGGCAGAGGGGCAACGGAGCTGGTGCTGCAGCTGTCGTTCGGGTCACTGATTCCCCTGCGCCACTGGCGGCAGCAGCAGCAGCCGCACCAGTGGCAGCGCCAGCAGCGCCCTCGGCAGCAGCAGCACCAGTGACAGCCGCCGCAGCACCAGCGGCAGCAGCAGGACCTGCAGTGGCAGCAGCAGTCGCAGCAGCAACACCAGCAGCTACGATTCCACAAGCAGCAGCCAAAGGCTCTGAATGTCCTGAAATCTCTGATCGGAAGGGTGAGAGTCCAGTCATGGATCGTGGTGAGAGGGAGGGTGGTGGGCGTGCAAAGGACGCAGGCAGTGCAGGCAATGCAGGCAGTGCAGGCAGTGCAGGCAGTGCTGGCAGTGCTGGCAGTGAGTGCGTCACTGCGCAAGGGGAAGCGCAGAAGAGCACCAGTGTGCATCCTACTGGAGCAGCCGGGGCGGGTGCTACTGGTGAAGCCGCTTCTGACACTATCAGAAGCACCACCAACAACAACACCAAGCCTTTCGCTGCACCTACTCCATCGCCTATTGCCGAGCCCACGGCCAGTGCTGATCCAGCTGCTTCGCGTATGGAAGGGCAGGCAGGTGGTAGTGATACAGGGCAAGGGGGGGCAGAAGTTGCAGCGATTTCAGCTGCAGCTGAGGCCAGGGGAGAAGCAGGGCGTGGGAGTGCGGAGCAGGTGGAGCAGGAGGAGCAGATTCCTGGTGTGCCTGGTGGGGCAGGGGCGAGACCTGGGAGCTCTGGAGGGGAGGCAGGTGTGGTGGAGGGAGGAGGATTGAGAAGGAGCAGCAGCACGTGCGTACGGGGAGATGGCGATGGGGATGGGGATGGGAATGGCGATAGGGATGAGATTGTGGACATTCCAGATACGGATGGGCAGCAACAGCAACAACAACAGCAGGTGCGCCCTCCCCAACCTTTGCAGCTTCTACAGCCGGTACTTGGGTCTCCGTCTGGTGGGGGTTTTCCTGCTAGCAGCAGTGGCGGCAGCAGCAGCACCAGCAGCAGCTGCAGCAGCACTCCCATAAGCCTTCGGCGCACTGGCGGCAGCGGCGGTGGGAAGATGTTTCATCGCACCCCTCCCCTCTCCCGCTCCTCTTCTGTCAAAGCAGCAGAGGAAACTGCAGCTGCAGCCGCAGCTGCTTTGGCTGCAGCAGCTGCATCCGCTGCCAAAGTCCCCCTAAGTCCCCGTCAGTCCCAGCAACCACAACAGCAGCAGCAGCAGCAGCAGCAGCAGCAGGAGGGTCAGATGCTGCATATCCACAATCATCCCATCCAGCAACAAAGTTGCGAGTTCAATACTCCCCAAGCCATCACATCACCAACAGGCACAGCCATACCCCCAGGCCCAGCCATCCCACTAGCCACATCCATTTCCTCAGGCACAGCCATTCCCACAAGCCCAACAATGCCCCCAAGCCCAGCTATACCCCCCAGCCCACGCCTAGCATCACCACCCTCCGCCCCAGGCATGCCTCCTCCTGCTGTTGCTGCACCTGTCACCATCACCGCAGCAGGAGGTTTCACCCTACCAGGACCGATCCGAGTTCCCACACCCAGCAGCCGCAGCAGCATGAGCATCAGCATCAGCAGCGGCAGTGGAGGCGGCATCAGCAGCGGCAGCAGTGGCGGAAGCAGCAGCGGAACCAACAACAAGCCGTCCTCCCATGCAGCAGCCATGGCGGGGCGAATGCGCTCCTGGAAACGCCCCAGCTCGCCCGTCCTCAGATACCAACCGCCCCAGGAAGCACCTCCCCCGCCTCCACCCTCCCCTGTGGCGGGCGCGGGCAGATCCCGGGGGTATTTCCGGGTGCGATCCGGGAGCTCTAGTCCTAGGCACTGGGGTTTGCTTCCTGGTAGTGCTCCGGGTGGCGTTGGCTTTGCTGCTGCTGCTGCGGCAGTGGCGGCAGCAAGAGAGGCAGTGATGGTGAGAGAGAATGCTGCTGCTGCCACTGCTGCTGCTGGTGCTGCTTCTGCTGCGGCTGCGGCTGCGGCAGCAGCAGCGGTAGCGGCAGGGATGGGGGGGGCGGTGGGGTTGCCTGTGGGTGGGCTTGGTGTGGGGCAGGGTGGGGGTGGCAGGGCGTTGTGGGGGTTACCCTCTCCTGCCGCCGCTGCCGCTGCTGCCGCCGCCGCTGCTGCAGCAGCTGCAGCAATGGGTGCCGGGCAAGGGGCGAGTGAAGGTGGAGGAGGTGGTGGTGGTGGTGGTGGAGAGGGACTGATGGGAGGCGTGAGGGCGATGGGGATGGGAGGGAGGGCGGTTCCTGAAGGAGTGAGAGCTCTGGTGCCACCTCTCGCTCTTGATCCTGTCAAGGTGAGCTGAAAGGACACGGTGAATGTTGTTTGGTAGTTGATACATTGTGGTGAAGTGGATTCACTCAACACACGCCTCTGTCCTCCACTCCTCCGCATTCCTCCCTCCCCTTGCCCAATCCAATCCAACCCCGGTGATTGAAGCAGTGTTTTGAGACGTCTCAAAACACTTCTTCAATCTCGAAGTGGATTCACTCAACACACGCCTCTGTCCTCCACTCCTCCGCATTCCTCCCTCCCCTTGCCCAATCCAATCCAACCCCGGTGATTGAAGAAGTGTTTTGAGACGTCTCAAAACACTTCTTCAATCTCGAAGTGGATTCACTCAACACACGCCTCTGCCCTGCACTCCGCCGCATTCCTCCCTCCCCTTGCCCAATCCAACCCCGGTGGATCGCAGCTGCCGGGAAGACCCCTCCTCACAACCGGCATTAGCACCGGCATCATCCCGGTGGATTGCTGCTGTCGAGGAGACCCCTCCTCCCAGCCCGCACTAGCAGCGCTGCGCAGCGCGCTGCTCGAACACCATCTCCCATTTGTCCCTGATGCTGCAGGGTGTATCAGGGTGTCCCTGATACTGAGCTGGTTTTTTAGAATTCTCAAAAACCAGAATTCTCAGAAACTAGAATTCTCAAAAACCAGAATTCTCAGAAACTAGAATTCTCAAAAACCAGAATTCTCAAAAACCAGAATTCTCAAAAACCAGAATTCTCAAAAACCAGCTCGCTGCGCAGCGCGCTGCACGAACACCATCTCCCATTTGTCCCTGTGCCCTCTCACTTGGCCCCCCTCCCTTCATTCCCCTTTCCCCCTACAGCTGCCCACCATTATCCCAGTGGATCGCTGCTGTCGCGGGGATCCCTCCTCCCAGCCAGCGCTAGCAGCGCTGCACAGTGCGCTGCACGAGGAGATCGAGGCGTTCTGCCTCCAGGTGATGGCGGAGATGCGCACAGTGCGTTGCACGACCGCTCAAACTCCTCCTCCCACTCACCCCTGTCTCCTCGTTTCCCCCTCCCCAGCTGCCCACAGTCATCCCGGTGGATCGCTGCTGTCGGGGCGACCCCTCATCGCAGCCAGCCCTAGCAGCGCTGCACAGTGCGCTGCACGAGGAGATAGAGGCGTTCTGCCTGCAGGTGATGGGGGAGATGCGCGCCCGCAAGCCCTACCAGCTCGCCGCCATCACCAAAGTCTCGCGCACGCTGCAGGTGAGTGCGTGGGTAGCACGCTGCAGGTCAGTCAACGGGTGGGTAGGTTGGATTGGAGGTAAGGGAGTGGCGGATGAGTCAGGCAGGTGATGGGGGGGATTCCCGTCCGCAAGCCCTACCAGCTCGCCGCCATCACCAAAGTCTCGCGAAATGGGTGTATCGAGGCATGCTGCCACCGAGGTAAGTTTCGAGGCGATTATAAGTGTCGGCATTTTCCTTGCCACTTGCAAACCCTAAACCCTTGCCCTTGTGAAGGTAAAATCACAGGGACCTTGTCTTTTCTTTTTGAGTCGACTCAAAAAACTAAACCCTTGCCCTTGTGAAGGTAAAATCACAGGGACCTTGTCCTTTTGCACTGAATGTTTCCTATTGTTGGTGTAAGACGGTCCAATAATCATCAAGGCTCCCATGTCCACATCCCGGCCATTCAGGTGCTGTGACCACGCTCTCGGGTGTCCACCTTCGGCTTAAACCCAGCGCCTGTGCCCATACTCATGCAACCCAGCGCCTGTGCCCATACTCATGCTCATTCCCCCTATTGTGCTACCACCTGGCCCCTGGGGTTGCTTGTCCCCCTCAGGTGCTGTGGCCGCGTTCCCGCGTCTCCATCTTTGGCTCAAATGCCACGGGTCTGGCTCTGCCATCGAGTGACGTTGACATTCTCGTGCACCTGCCGCCCGTCCGCAACCTGGTGAGATACTCCCATGCCACCGTCTCTCCCTTTCTTGTGCTGTATGCTGTGGACCCTGGTGTCGCCCTCGCATGCTCGCTCGCTCTGCCCTCAAGTGACGTTGACATTCTCGTGCACCTGCCGCCCGTCCGCAACCTGGTGAGATGCCCCCGCCATCTCTCCCTCTCCCTCTCCCTTGCTCTGTGCTTTGGTATCGCCCTTACCTCACTTGCTCGCTCTCGCTTGCATAAAGGAGGCGGGCACATTGGAGGGGCGCATCATTTTTTAACAAGGCACGCTCAGGTCTTACCAGTGTTTCTTCCCAGTGTGCTTACTTCCTCTTTTCCCTCATCCCTCCTCATTCTCCATCCCCCCTCATCACGTCTTTGCGTCACCAGGAGCCGATAAAGGAGGCGGGCATCTTGGAGGGGCGCAACGGCATCAAGGAGACGTGTCTGCAGCACGCTGCGCGCCACCTGGCGGACCAGGATTGGGTGAAGAGCGATTCAATCAAGACCATTGAGAACGCCATGGTGCCCATCATCATGCTCGTTGCTCGCCTCCCTGCCCACACATCCCGCCTCTCTGCTGACGTGGCACCCGCTGTCCTTGCTGACGTGGCCCCTGCTGCCACTGCTGATGTGGCTCCGGCTGTCCTTGCCGACATTAGCCCTGCTGAGGTGGCCTCTGCTGATGTGGCGAGTGCAGACGCAGGAGGTGAGCCGCTGGTTTGGAATCACGTGTCAGGGCAGACGAGATAAGCGGCAGTGCTGCTGGCACTCGTTGAGCGACCCCTGCGTCTGCCTCTGCTTCTGATTCTTTTTCGCTGCTTTTGCTCCTGACGCTGTTGCTGCAGGTGGAGGTGGCACAAATCTCACAGCGGTCACGACTTTTGAGTTGGCTCAAATGTTTGACTCAACTCAAAAACCGGGAGTGTCACCGGTCACTGCTGCTAGCAGCAGCAGCTCAAGCCGGGTCTCTGCTACTGAAGATTCAATACTGGGGGAGGTGGAGGGCGGAGGGAATGGGGAGGTGGTAGGGGAGGTGACGACACAAAAAGGGCAGCAGACAGAGGAGGGAGTGGGGAACGCAGGTGGGGTTCCGGAGAAGCCAGAGGATGTTCTTGAGAAGGTGGAGGAAGGGTTGGAGAAAGCAGGTGGAGGAGGGAAGGGGGCAGCAGGTGGGAATGTGCAGGTGCTGTTTGAGACGTCTCAAAAGACAGCAGCAGTAGCAGCAGCAGCAGCAGCAGCAGCAGCGGGGGAGGTGCAGGTGCAGGTGGTGAGGGGTGGGGCGAGGGGCCCGTGGGGGAATGTGGACGACAGGCGCAACGTGCGTTTGGACATCAGCTTCGAAGGCGGCTCACACTCGGGCCTGCGCACTGCTGAACTGGTGGGTTGCGCCTGGTGAGCCCTTCTGGTTCTGCGTGCCAGGCTGCTGGGGCACTCTGGAGTCAACGTGGGTCCTGGCGAGTTCTGAAGATCTCTCTGGCGACTGCGCCCAGAGCTTGTTGACCTGGCGAGTTGTTGGGATGTAACTGCCAGAACCTTTTGTGAACTGGGGAGGCGCACGCGAGTCTGCCACGATGTGACTATTGAGTTGGAATATATATATATATATATATATATATATATATATGTATACATACATATATTCACCACGGCGTGCTTCAGCCAGCACCAGTCAGCTAAATGTTTCTTGCTTCCATGTCTCCCTGCGTCCACCTCTCCCAACAACTGCTTGCCCATGCCCCCTGCAGGTGCGAGAGCTGATGGCGCACCGCTGGCCCTGGTGCTCAAGCAGTTCTTCACAAACCATTAACTCCCTGGCTGTTACTCACCCCCTGATTCCTCCCCTCCCTTATGCCTTATCAGGTGCGAGAGCTCACAGCACAGTTCCCAGCCATCCCACCGCTCGCTCTGGTGCTCAAGCAGTTCCTCACAGACCGCAGCCTCGACCATCCCTACACTGGCGGCCTCTCCTCCTACTGCCTCGTGAGTTGCTGCACTCCCCCTTTCTCTCATAGTTTCCCTTGCCTTCTCCTCACCGCATCCTCACAGTCCGTAGCCTCGACCATCCTTACATTGGCGGCCTCTCCTCCTACTGCCTTGTGAGTCGTCACAACCCCCCTGCACATCACCCGCCTGCCTCTACCCTTTCTTTGCTGTGTAGCACCACTCTCACCTCCAATCCTCCCCCAAAACCCCACCCCCAACCCCTACCTTCCCCTTCTCCCCCCCTCTCCTCTCCTCCCCCCCCCCCCCACCACTCACCAGTTATTGCTGATAACGCGTTTCCTGCAGATACAGCCGCACATCGGCCGCCCGCCGCAGTGGCAGAACCTGGGCAGCCTGCTGCTCGACTTTCTGCACTTCTATGGGTGCGTGCACGCGTGCATGGGTGCATGCATGGGTGCATAGGTGTATGACTTGTATGCGCGTGTGCGTGCAATGGCTGGCGTCACAACCCGCCACTGTCACTGCCTGTCGACCTACTCGCGCCAGTGGCAGAACCTGGGCAGCCTGCTGCTCGACTTCCTGCACTTCTATGGGTGCGTGTGACTTTAACCCGCACCTCCTCGCTGCCTTTTGGCATGCTGTGTGCTTGACTTGTGAGGGGCCTCACAAGTGCTCTTCCTCCTCTTCCCCCACGTTGGTGTGCTTGACTTGTGAGGTTCCTCACCAGTAATCTCCCTCCTCTCTTTTCTTCCTCCCCCTTCACAGCTGTGTGTTTGACCCGCGGCGAATGGCTGCCAGCATCAGGCAGCTTTCCTCTCAACCCCTGCAAACCCACCCCCTACCCCACCCCACCCCGTCCCACCCCACCCCACCCAACAGCTGTGTGTTTGACCCACGGCGCATGGCGGCCAGCATCAGGCTCGGAGGGGCCTTTCTCGAGCGAGACCGCTCCCAGAGGTGAGACGGATTTGCCCGGTAGCTTCCTCTAAGAAAGCTTCTTGGAGATTGGGTTATGTGGTGCCGTTGAGATGTTCCAGCACCGTTGCTTGACTACTGAATCTCAGGGCTGGTGTCGGTATCTGTGAATGTCTTCTGTTCTTCCATGCATCTGCATCTATCGTTCGTCCGCTGCACACTTGAGTGCGCTTCGTTGTGTTGAAGTGTCCTCGCGTTTTGTGTGTGCGCGCGCATGTGTGTGTCTGTGCATGTTTACATATGCATGTGTGAATGTCTGCATGTGTTTATGTGCACATGTGTGCACGTTTGCAACTGTGCATGTGTGCATGTATGTGCATGTTTGTGATGTGTCGCGTGTGTGTTCATGTGTGCATGTGTGCATTCATGTGTGCATGTGTGCATTCATGTGTGCATTCATGTGTGCATGTGTGCATTCATGTGTGCATGTGTGTGTGTGCATGCATGAATGAGCATGGCAGCATCGACCCATTGCACATTGAGGACCCCTTGGATCCCACCAACAATGTCGGCCGCAACTGCTTTCGCATCCTGCAATGCACCAAGGTGTGCACTACATGCATGGAGCCAACACATTATGAATCCAATGAACCATGTTTCTGTCCCGCCCCTCACTCATCTCTCCCGCCCCTCACTCATCTCTCCCGCCCCTCACTCATCTCTCCCGCCCCTCACTCATCTCTCCCGCCCCTCACTCATCTCTCCCGCCCCTCACTCATCTCTCCCGCCCCTCACTCATCTCTCCCGCCCCTCACTCATCTCTCCCGCCCCTCACTCATCTCTCCCGCCCCTCACTCATCTCTCCCGCCCCTCACTCATCTCTCCCGCCCCTCACTCATCTCTCCCGCCCCTCACTCATCTCTCCCGCCCCTCACTCATCTCTCCCGCCCCTCACTCATCTCTCCCGCCCCTCACTCATCTCTCCCGCCCCTCACTCATCTCTCCCGCCCCTCACTCATCTCTCCCGCCCCTCACTCATCTCTCCCGCCCCTCACTCATCTCTCCCGCCCCTCACTCATCTCTCCCGCCCCTCACTCATCTCTCCCGCCCCTCACTCATCTCTCCCGCCCCTCACTCATCTCTCCCGCCCCTCACTCATCTCTCCCGCCCCTCACTCATCTCTCCCGCCCCTCACTCATCTCTCCCGCCCCTCACTCATCTCTCCCGCCCCTCACTCATCTCTCCCGCCCCTCACTCATCTCTCCCGCCCCTCACTCATCTCTCCCGCCCCTCACTCATCTCTCCCGCCCCTCACTCATCTCTCCCGCCCCTCACTCATCTCTCCCGCCCCTCACTCATCTCTCCCGCCCCTCACTCATCTCTCCCGCCCCTCACTCATCTCTCCCGCCCCTCACTCATCTCTCCCGCCCCTCACTCATCTCTCCCGCCCCTCACTCATCTCTCCCGCCCCTCACTCATCTCTCCCGCCCCTCACTCATCTCTCCCGCCCCTCACTCATCTCTCCCGCCCCTCACTCATCTCTCCCGCCCCTCACTCATCTCTCCCGCCCCTCACTCATCTCTCCCGCCCCTCACTCATCTCTCCCGCCCCTCACTCATCTCTCCCGCCCCTCACTCATCTCTCCCGCCCCTCACTCATCTCTCCCGCCCCTCACTCATCTCTCCCGCCCCTCACTCATCTCTCCCGCCCCTCACTCATCTCTCCCGCCCCTCACTCATCTCTCCCGCCCCTCACTCATCTCTCCCGCCCCTCACTCATCTCTCCCGCCCCTCACTCATCTCTCCCGCCCCTCACTCTCCCGCCCCTCACTCATCTCTCCCGCCCCTCACTCATCTCTCCCGCCCCTCACTCATCTCTCCCGCCCCTCACTCATCTCTCCCGCCCCTCACTCATCTCTCCCGCCCCTCACTCATCTCTCCCGCCCCTCACTCATCTCTCCCGCCCCTCACTCATCTCTCCCGCCCCTCACTCATCTCTCCCGCCCCTCACTCATCTCTCCCGCCCCTCACTCATCTCTCCCGCCCCTCACTCATCTCTCCCGCCCCTCACTCATCTCTCCCGCCCCTCACTCATCTCTCCCGCCCCTCACTCATCTCTCCCGCCCCTCACTCATCTCTCCCGCCCCTCACTCATCTCTCCCGCCCCTCACTCATCTCTCCCGCCCCTCACTCATCTCTCCCGCCCCTCACTCATCTCTCCCGCCCCTCACTCATCTCTCCCGCCCCTCACTCATCTCTCCCGCCCCTCACTCATCTCTCCCGCCCCTCACTCATCTCTCCCGCCCCTCACTCATCTCTCCCGCCCCTCACTCATCTCTCCCGCCCCTCACTCATCTCTCCCGCCCCTCACTCATCTCTCCCGCCCCTCACTCATCTCTCCCGCCCCTCACTCATCTCTCCCGCCCCTCACTCATCTCTCCCGCCCCTCACTCATCTCTCCCGCCCCTCACTCATCTCTCCCGCCCCTCACTCATCTCTCCCGCCCCTCACTCATCTCTCCCGCCCCTCACTCATCTCTCCCGCCCCTCACTCATCTCTCCCGCCCCTCACTCATCTCTCCCGCCCCTCACTCATCTCTCCCGCCCCTCACTCATCTCTCCCGCCCCTCACTCATCTCTCCCGCCCCTCACTCATCTCTCCCGCCCCTCACTCATCTCTCCCGCCCCTCACTCATCTCTCCCGCCCCTCACTCATCTCTCCCGCCCCTCACTCATCTCTCCCGCCCCTCACTCATCTCTCCCGCCCCTCACTCATCTCTCCCGCCCCTCACTCATCTCTCCCGCCCCTCACTCATCTCTCCCGCCCCTCACTCATCTCTCCCGCCCCTCACTCATCTCTCCCGCCCCTCACTCATCTCTCCCGCCCCTCACTCATCTCTCCCGCCCCTCACTCATCTCTCCCGCCCCTCACTCATCTCTCCCGCCCCTCACTCATCTCTCCCGCCCCTCACTCATCTCTCCCGCCCCTCACTCATCTCTCCCGCCCCTCACTCATCTCTCCCGCCCCTCACTCATCTCTCCCGCCCCTCACTCATCTCTCCCGCCCCTCACTCATCTCTCCCGCCCCTCACTCATCTCTCCCGCCCCTCACTCATCTCTCCCGCCCCTCACTCATCTCTCCCGCCCCTCACTCATCTCTCCCGCCCCTCACTCATCTCTCCCGCCCCTCACTCATCTCTCCCGCCCCTCACTCATCTCTCCCGCCCCTCACTCATCTCTCCCGCCCCTCACTCATCTCTCCCGCCCCTCACTCATCTCTCCCGCCCCTCACTCATCTCTCCCGCCCCTCACTCATCTCTCCCGCCCCTCACTCATCTCTCCCGCCCCTCACTCATCCTCTCCCGCCCCTCACTCATCTCTCCCGCCCCTCACTCATCTCTCCCGCCGCTGACTCATCTCTCCCGCCGCTGACTCATCTCTCCTGCCGCTGACTCATCTCTCCCGCCCCTCACGACTGGTATACAACTCTTTCTCTTCGCTGATGCGTACGACATGCTGGAGAGGCAGCTGCCAGACAGACATGACCTCTGCCATACAACTCACCACTGCCACCTCCACCTCCCCCAACCCCGTCAGGCTTTCGCCGATGCGTACAACATGCTGGAGAGGCAGCTGCCAGACAGACATGACCTCTGACATCTCCCCTCCTCTCCCCACCTTCCGCACACATTCTTTCTCGTCTGGGCAGCTGCCAGACAGACATGACCTCTGACATCTCCCCTCCTCTCCCCACCTTCCGCACGCATTCTTTCTCGTCTGGGCAGCTGCCAGACAGACATGACCTCTGACATCTCCCCTCCTCTCCCCACCTTCCGCACGCATTCGTTCTCGTCTGGGCAGCTGCCAGACAGACATGACCTCTGACATCTCCCCTCCTCTCCCCACCTTCCGCACGCATTCTTTCTCGTCTGGGCAGCTGCCAGACAGACATGACCTCTGACATCTCCCCTCCTCTCCCCACCTTCCGCACGCATTCGTTCTCGTCTGGGCAGCTGCCAGACAGACATGACCTCTGACATCTCCCCTCCTCTCCCCACCTTCCGCACGCATTCTTTCTCGTCTGGGCAGCTGCCAGACAGACATGACCTCGGACGTCTTCTCACCCCAACTTGTGCACGTATTCATTCTCTTGTACATACCGTGCTCCCTTTCCTTGCTCCCTGTTCTCACCCCATCAGGCTTTCGCCGATGCATATGACATGTTGGAGAGGCAGCTGCCAGACAGACATGACCTCTGCCATACAACTCACCTCTACGTCTCTGCCTGTCACCCATCCTCCCCCCTTCCGCTCTTCCAAACCCCATCAGGCCTTTGCCGATGCATATGACATGTTGGAGAGGCAGCTGCCAGACATGACCTCCGCCATTGCGCATGGCAGCCCGCCATGTGGCACGCAGCTATTGGCCAAGATCCTGCCTAGCATCGCCCCGCCTGTGACCAAGTAACTGGCCAAGTGACTGACCAGACCGAATGGAACACCACATTACTTGCAATGGAAGACCAAGGTCCCTGCATCAGTCTGCATCATTCCGCCTGCCTGGCATCATCACCAGTCTCCTGCGACAGACAGAAGCAGCATGCTCATTCCATGTGAGCCCCACCTCCTCTCTTCTGCAGCTTCCCCAGGTTTGGTTCTGTGTGTTCTATCCATACTCTTCATCTTTTCTTCCACCCCACAATGCAAGCCCACATGCAGTTACCTTACACGTCATATACCGTACCTATATCAATTCCGGCAGAGGTTGGCCATCTATATTTCAAGTGGCTGGCGTGGCATTTCAACAGCAGCCATACCATCCTGCACTGCACTGCACTATCCATGTCTTTTGAGTTCATTTATCGTTGGGTCTTGCAGGATGCGGCTGTCAGGCATTGCAACCTCCCAAGCAGTTTCGGTCCTTGCAAAATATTCAAGCTCCAAGCGGAGTGAAAAATACAGGTGACCGGTACATGGCAAAAACACGCCTCCCTATCTGGGAGGGTAGAGGAACCATTCAAATGGACCCAACCAGAGCAGTCTAACCAAGGCAGTCGCAGCAAGCAACAACACGAGCTACCAAATTGACAGGGAGCTCTAAAAAAGCTGCAACGAAATTTACGGTAACAATGGTGGTGAATATGGTAGTTACGGTGAAAGGGAATGGTAGGAGGCATGTAGGAGCCTCAAGTTGGAGCTGCTGCTGCGGTTGGGAGTGGTGCAGCTGGATTTGAGGCGGAAGGGAAATGAATGACAGTGTGGTTACTTGGAAGAGGAGAAGGATTTGAGGAGCGTCCTCCGTGTGTAGCTGGAGCTGCCGCTGCTGCTGTTGGGAGTGGTGCAGCTGGTTCTCGTGTTGCTGCTCCTGCTGATGCTGAGCGCAACGCTGCTGCTGCTGCTGATGCTGCTGATGCTTGTCATGCCGCTTGAGCCGCTGTCAGCACGAGCCGTCTTGTTGAATGACGCCTTCTCTCCCTTCTCGTATTCTCCATCGCAGTCCCCGACGTGCTCAGCGTATGTGTCGTCATACAATACCTCTCCATTGGCTTCTTTGTATGCCTCCGAGTCGTAGCATTTTTCATCCGATGCTGCTTCCGTTGCCATTTCTGGCCTCCTCTGAGAGGCTGTTGCTGCTAGCGTGTCCTCTCGGGTTAGGGTTACCAGAGCAGTAGCCTCGGAGCACTTCAAATGGCGAACCAGCCACGGGTGGTCCAGAATACCGTCGATGTCAATTCGCTCCTGAGGATCAACAGTCATCATGCGGCAGATCAGATCCTTAGCCGCCCACGACACCTCGCGCTTCCCCCCATCCGCGCGCGCATCCTTCCGCCAGGGGAAGTACCCGAAGTCCTCCACGGGGACGAGTTTCCGCTCGCCCGCGCGGAACGCGGGCCAGGAGGCGGAGAGCAGCGCGTACAGCAGCACGCCGAGGGACCACACGTCCGCCTCGCACCCGTACGGGGCGCGCGCGAGCACCTCGGGCGCCTCGTACGGCGCGCTCCCCGCGAGCCCCACGATGCACTTATCGCGCGGAAGCTGGTACGCGAGACCGAAGTCCCCGAGCCGCACGTCGTACTCCGCCTTCCCCGCTGCGCAGGCAGCGGCGGCGGCGTCCGCGGTGTCGGGGAGCACTGTTTGGCGGCGCGAAATGAGAATGTTTTCTGGCTTGATGTCGCGGTGGACGACGCGGTGGTCGTGGCACCACTGCACGGCGCGCGCCACTTGCGCGAAGATCCGCGCAACCGTGCGCTCATCAAGCCCGCGCGGATGGTCCGCGAGCAGCCCGAAGAGATCTCCGCCGTCGCAGAGCTCCGTGAGAATGTAGACAGCTTTCGCGTCCTCGTACAGACTGTCGAGTCGCAGCATGTTAGGGTGACCCTGCAGGATGATTAAGAGGGTGATTTCGCGCTGGAGGTCCGCTTCCGCCGCGGGGGAAAGCCCGCGCTTGTTCACCTGCTTGCACGCGAAGGCCTCCCCCGTCGCGCGGTCCACGCAGCGCCACACGCGGCCCGACTGGCCCTCGCCGAGCAGGTCGCTGAAGACGCAGCGACGCGCGAGCTCCGAGGAATGCTGCGGAGTGAACCGGTCCATTGGGGGCCGTGTCTGGATTAGGAATAGGCTGGGCTTTCAAAGCAGTCAGTGCTCTAGCACTGAGTGGCTAGGGAGTGACGACGAGGAATCTAGCACTTCCAGTGGTGTGGCTGGTTATGGAGATCGGCTAGGTAAGGGATATTTCAGTTAGACAAGACGAAATCACCTTGGCTGGGATTTATGAGTGATTTGAGGCTGACGGGTTTCTGGCATCTGTGCAGCGCGTTTCTGAACCGTCGCGGGTACATGACTCACTAAAAGTATCGGTACATTTCGGTTGTGACGTCTGAAGATCGGCGGGATTGGGTGCGTGCTTTGTTGTTCCCCACTTCACTCCCCCCATCCTCCCCGTTCTGGGGAACCCAACTTGATTCAGAGAATTCTGAAGAGACGGCTGCTGACGGAAAATCTCGGCACGCGTGAAAGGACCAAGCGAATTGTGAGTGGTGGATATGCCGGCTGGCATCAATTGAAGCGATGTGATTCGTGCAGCGCACTTCTTCGATCAGAGATTGTGAACCATGCGGGTCCTTGCCTTCTCGAATCAGCCTGCTTCGGCTTGCACACCAGCGACAAAATAGGTAGCCAGCCAACCAGGCTTGCTGGCTCATCCGTGCACTTCACGCCACATCACACAAGGTGCCAAAAAACATCGCTCAAGCCTGTGGACTCGTGTGGATGTGAAGTGAAACAGACGATGTTATTTCTCGGCGAGTTTCCCCACCAACCCGAGCTATACACCTGTTCCCGACGAAGGATCAACTCATCGCCAGATATTACATTCCTCTATAACATCTCGCAATATAGCCTAGGCCCATCAGGTGGAGTTCGACTGTTGATGCTTTTTTTAGTTGTATTCTGTCATCCTCCAACGCCAAAAACAATATGTGTACTCTCTCTATTTTCCA